CCTTTCCCTTCTTTCTTACTGTGATGCCTCTAAAGGCGTGATCATTTTCTTGGATATCTCTGAATGTTCCGTCAACAGCCTCATACATTTTGCGGTTGGCCATAGTTACTTCATCCACAACCAAAAGACTGCAGTGTCAAAGGAGTTCTGCTGTTGTGTCGCTCTTTGATATGTTACAGAAAGAATGTGACGGTAATGCCCCCTGCCCCCTCCCCCCCCCCCCACCCCCTCCTTACATTAAAAACCACTTTCGCTTATTACAAATTGAATTCTGGAGCTACATGTACACTTTAGTTCTACCAGCTGCCCACTACTAGTATCGTAGCCCGCCCAGTCAGTCGGCGGTGCCGCTGTACAGCTTCATGTAGCTGTTCTGTGGAAACTTTACATCTACTCCAGATCTGATAGAGTAAAATCTTGACCTAGACAAGGGCCAGTGCCTAGACTTAAGGCTAACGCCATTTACACCACAATAATAAACCCTGACCTATACGATTATTCTTACCTAATTGGAGCAAAGTGGGACGTCTTCTAATGCACATTTTAATTTTTTGAATAAAGTATCTGTTGAAAAGTGTAAACAGAAAGTACTATTTAAGATGGTGTTATTAGAAAAGGCACAATAGTTGCAGTGGCTTTGTAGATAGAGCAATGGTCTTGGAACTAGGAAGTCTATGGTTTAAAAGTTGTTTTCATTGCGTTTTGAAAACGAACATGAAACAACATTGAGCTTAGTTTAAACATATTTGTGGCTTTAAAAAAAAAACATTGAGCATGTAAACACTGGTTTGGATCTTCAAACGTAGATACATGGTTGCTCATCAGTTCAAGCATTAGTATATGATTGCCCAAGTCCTTTGAAAAAGACTGAAAGTAGTAGGTCCTCTCGTTGCTTGCTTACATATATTATGTAGAAGTCGCATGAAATAATGCCACAAGCTCAATGATTGAACAGGTGCTATCTTTCTTAAAGAATTAAAATGCTTCATAGAATGAGATGTCTCCCCGTTAAAGTCAGGAGATTAGTTCTGTAGTTGCAGATCTTAAGTCTGATATTTTTTTTTGGGTACCAAGATGCAATTATAAATATTTAAGTGGGTGTTAATTTTGTGATTTTAAAAATTGTGGTTTGTGAAATAATCTATGTCTATTCATAGACAACACTCTGAGCTATTGAGAACATATGTTATGATAAAAATAAAGTGTTTAAATTTTGAATGTTTTTTGTTAGTCACTACTATTAGTAGGGGGCTATAAAGTGATGTTTTATGTTCAGTAGATTTCAATGTCCTATTGTATGTCTCATCATGTACAGTTTACATGATATGTCATTGTCACGTTTGCACTTTTCAAATGGAGGATGCACAAGGCTTTTGAAATTGCCCCAGGTTGATTTTTCAAAAGCAGTTGTTTATTTGTTTTCTGTATGGTGTGTAATGATTGAAATGACAAGTTTTCATATTGTTTGTCTTTTTAAACTAAGAAAATGTATCATGTGAAATATATGCATGTGAGATCTAAAGGATGTAACTCTATAAACCAGAATTTTGACTTCTACTTGGAGCAAGAAGGTTGTTTATTCATATACTGTAAACAGAAAGTTTAACTACCTTCTGGCCCTGAACAGATGATTTGTTTAGTGATGTGCAATCATGATTTGATATCTTTATGAGTATTGCTTTTAGTGTGTGTATTTACTTGCATTTTAAACAAAAATTAGTATCCATAATGATGTATGAAACTTTTAAGATGACTCAAGTTGACGGTATCGATGTTAGATCATGTTAAAGGTTCAGTTTTCTGCCTTAAATTTTTTTTTTTTTAAGTTGTTGTTGTTGTTGATTGTTCTACATTCTGTTAGCTAATTCGGCTAGTAATGTAGTGCTAAAAATTTGAATGGTTTCTACTTTGTTATATAGCATTTATGTGACTCCCAGGTTTAAAACAAAATGATAGGGTGTCCAAGAAATTACCATATACAGTCAAACTGCTTAAATGCCCACCTGTCTACAAAGACCACATTTTTGTATCCCTTGAAGAAGATTTCTCATTGAAACCTGTTCTAAAGGAACCTGTACATAAAGACCCCTTTCTATAAAGACTACTTTTCTTGTCTCCCTTGGGTGGTCTTTATAGACAGGTTTCACTGTACCATACTCTTATTGTTTAAAATAAGATGATCACAGTGTATCTGTTATGACTCTATGCCTCTGACTTCAACATTATTTTTATAAAAACTTGTGCAATTATTGTCTTGGTGATTTATGTGGTTATAAAATAAATAGGTATAGGAAAAATGTATTACAACTCATATAACTTACTTTCATTGCTTGAATATATATTTGGGGATATATATATATTGCATAAGTAATTCAGATTATATTTTGAAAAAAGAAAGAAACAAGTCAGGCTGGCTCTGTATGATGTTCTGTTCAATGTATCATGTTATTTTTTTTTTTGGTCGAGATTTATTTTCTTTATCTCTAAAATGAATCCTTATTTCAAGCTATTTGTGAATAACAGGATGGTATTAATTAATATTTGTTAAACTTTGATTTGTAAATTGAATATTTTATAAAGAGTATATATTTATTAACTGATGAATTCGAAGATTGACAATGATTATGTTGGATGATAAAGTTAATAAAAAGGCAAGAGATTTCAATATAAGAATTCTGTTAGTTTGACTCTGTGAGCTCATTTATTTTGGCTGTACTGTTACAAGAATGATATTCATGTATAGTTTGTAACAGTGACGTGCACAAGATTTTTTTCGAGGGGGACATGACCCTGCGAGGTAGCAAAGCAACCGAACAGGAGAGGGTGTGAGAGGTGGTTATTCCATCCAATGTCATGAATTTTGATATCCTGGCTTAAAAAAGAGACATAATAGAAAAGAAAAGGAGCATATGTCAAAGTACAAAGGTTAATTATCAGGGTGAAAATGGGGCACTTCTTACACCTACAAAAGAGGCACTCACCGGGGATTTTTAAAAAAGGCACTTATGAGAATGGGAAAAGGGTCACCCATCAGATTGATAGGGGCATTTAAAAGAGGTGAAAAGGGATAGGTCCCTTAGTAGAAAGGGCACGTATCATTGTTAAAAAGGAAATTGTTTTAGGTGAGAAGGGGCACTTATCGCACCTGAAAAGGGAATTTATAATAAAGGAAAAATGTGCATTAGTTGATAGAAAAGGGACACCAATCAGATTTTGATAGGGCATTTATCGAATGTGAAAGGGGGCTTTTATGAGAAGGGGGAAGTGGCTCTTATTCTATTGTTTTATGAAGTCATATGTTACAATAGCCGGGGCACTTATCATAGATTAAAAAGGGTAATTATGAGGAGGGAAGGGGCACTTGTCAAAGTAGAAACGAGTATCTCTCAGATTTTAATAAGGGCAATTATCGGAGGTGAAAGGTGCCACTTATCTGAAGTGAAAAGGAGTAACTTCTCTTACCTGAAAAGGTTCATTCAGAAAAGGGGCACTTATTGCAAAGGAAAAAGGGAACTTGACGAAGGAAAAGGGCTGCTTTTCAAAGATGAAAAGGGGAAGGGACACTTTTACAAACTGTAGGGTCACTTTTCAATGTAAAAAGGGGCACTTCTTACAAAGTCAAAGGGACACTTCGGGGAAAGTGGGAGGGCCGCTTCTGAATATAGTAATTAATTCAAAAATATAATACACGAAAGGTCAAGCTGCATAAGATTACCTGGAGAAAACACATAGATAAATGTTAAACAGTTTCTCGAGTGAAATCATCATTTCAAGAGTTCAGAACCGGACCGTGTACATTAGACCGTCCATGAAAGAGAACGCAAAATAGATTAGATAGTACCCCGAGAAAATCACGTAGCAACATGCAATTCGTCCATACGCATTCAATAGGTTCAGAAACAAGGTAATTCATTTTTGTACATTAATAACCGGAACGTGCATCATTCATTTAAGATTAAGAATTAGAGAAAAAAAGATAAGTGGACTGGAAAAAGCAAACCCAGGATATTAGACATGATTTTAGAAGGAAAACTCGAAGTTGCGTTTAAAGTATTTTAACGATGGTGCTTCCAAACCATTCCAAAAAGAGGGGTCGGTATAAACAATTTGTTTGTAGGGAAAAGAATTGGGGAGATATCAAAATTGACTCTCTGTATTGTGGGATAGGATTGGATAACTTTTTTTATCGAACATAGGAGGCAATATATTACGCAAATCACCCTTGTGAATTTATAGGGCAAATCAGCAGAGTAGCTGATACATGAATATTCCGAGGAAATAATTGTATAAATCAGATACTTTCAGAATACGTTTTGTAAGAAATAAAGACACGTTACATGATCCGAACATCCTTGCAACATGCAATACCACATTGTTTTGAAATTGCCTCCGAGTTGATTTTTTGAAGTCTTTGCGATCATATGATATGTCCATATCTAATTTAGATATATATTGAAGGCACTAATTTATTTTTTCTCCCGGAAATTAGAAAATCGCGCCGGCCTATAACTCGATCAGTGGGGGGGGGGGGGGGGGGGGGGGGGGGGGGGGGGGGGGGGGGGGGGGGGGGGGGGGGGGGGGGGGGGGGGGGTAGTGAGCAATAATTTTTTGTTTTGGCCCTCGAAAATTTGAAAAATCGCACCCCCCCCCCCCCTTGAACGCCAGGGGGGGTGGGGCATCTAAAAAAAAAAGGTAAAATTAACGATTTTTTTTCCCAGGAGGGGCCGCCCCCCCCCCCCCCCCCCCCCTGGATTCGCCACTGGACATAGGTATAATGCCTTTATTTTTCAAGGCATATTTACCAGCAGCTTTTTTTTTACGGACCCTTAAAAGAACATGCATTCATTCACTGTACATGTATCACAGTGCGCGCGAATGACGTAACAAAGGTTCTACGCAATCAGTTTTATTTATAGTGACTCAACAATAGAAGCGCGTTGATAGCCCCTGAACACAAATCATTGCAATGCGCATCGCGTCTAGTAGTAACGGAGCCTCACAAGAGCTCATTATCCAAACAGCATAATCCCGGCTTCAACAAAAGTCAGTATATTTCGCGAAGAAACATCCTTAAAAACTATACTAAAATACCCATTGTCTTGTAATTCAAGTAGGAAACTTTTATAAAAATTATACATCTTCCATAATTAAAAAAAAATCATGACTAAAGGTAAAAAGAAGATAGAAAAGGATATGGAACCTCGGAAGGATGACCAAGTTCTCTATACCGATGAGGTACCGAGTTTGACCAAGAAAGGAAACCTGTATCTACCGAACAAGAAAGGCTCGCCCCTCGATACACTGGGCTTAGATCTTTTGATGGGGAATGTGATGAACAGAGGACAATACTGTAAGGTAAGTGGGAAACATTATTTAAGAACCGGTGTTTAGTCATTTGCTTTTATTCGAAAAATAAACATCGACTAACATGAGAATCTTGCAATTTCTATGCTTCTCGGTATAAGGGAGTTTACAGATAGCACATGGTACAAATGACCCCAAATATCCACTTTTACACATGGAGAAGTTCCACTTTGAGCATCTTAGAATAATAACTGCCAAAGTCATAGATGTGCTTCATGAATACCTTTTGTTTGACCTCTTGAAAAGAATACTTCCACCTGCGTATCATAGAATGTACCGTTGGTGCATAAATGAATAATGTTACATAACTTTCATGAGCGCATATCCAGTATTCATCTCTGTGGGTTTTACCATTTTGGTACAAATGACCTTTATCTGATGCGCAGATTGTATTTGTGAACTGGCCTATTGTCCTGTGGGTATACAATCTATGTCATCATCATCATCACCTTCATCCTTTTCATCATTAATTTCACGGAATTATCATCACTATGATCATCAGCGTCAACATCACTACCACCACCACCATCATCATAATTATAATAGTTATCGTAATCATCTTAATTTTATGTTTATGATATCGTTTTTCTTGGGGGTATTTCATTTCACATCACGGGTCACCTCGTATCGACTAGGACGGATGATTACGATGGTACGATAAAACATTAAAAACAAATAAAAACGAGATCATATTTAATTTAGAAATAATTGCCGATTATACACGGACATAGTCGTACAAGAAGATAGTTTGCCGAATAATGAAGTGTTTTGAGTTTAAGGTAAAGACCAGTATTGGAAACGCCCCAATTTCAAAAAATGAAATAGAAGCTCTTATTACCAATCATGTGAAAGAATATGTTTTGACTAATACATGATGATAAAATTTTTTCCGGGATACCGCCTGTATATTTGGTAATTTATTTTATCGTTTGGCCTGTGAGAGATAAACGCACGTGTGTGTAGTCCCATATACATCTTTCTGTGTACAGTGCTTGTAACTTACAAAGACTGGGCCAAATTCTTATAATTTTGATGATTCCAGAAGCTTGCAGTATACACACTAATACTTATGCTAGATGATCAACACCTTCTGATCGATTCCACAACGTGTCTTTCACAATGCAATCGCATGACCATAACTGGTCTTTATCTTTAAAGTGAATTGGTAATTTCGTTGAAGGTTCATATGAAATGTTACTTATTATATTCCTTCCATACTGTATATACTAGCCCTCTTACATGCAAGAAATTCAGAAAAACATTCTCAAACCACAGAGATATTTATGGTTTTCTTTGAAGGCGTCAATGTGTAACTCCCCCTAACAGTAAATTCTCCCGACCAATTTGTGAATCATCCCAACCGTTTTCCATGAAAATAAGACATAAAGCATGCTTTAAATTTGTTTGTACACTTAAATGTTTGGAATGGTATATAGAGCCAATTCATTGCTTTGTGATGTTATCATTCACCTAAAATTCAATTTAATTATAACAATATAGTTGGGAGAATTAAGAAAACGATCAGATCAGTTTTTCCCAATTTTTATCTTTAATAATGGTCTGATTTCACTCAAAATGTCTGATTATCTTTAATTGTACATCTAGCATTGTAGTCACTACCTTAGCACCATTTTCTCTCATCTGAACAATGTTACCAAGTCCTTTTAAGGTGAGGGAATTATTCTGCTTGAAGGACAACATGTGTATTAAAATACAAGCGAAGATGAATTAAGAAAAGTAAAATACTGTGAAAATATTGTTAATTTTCCCTTAAATTTAGGTGATACATGTTTACAGTAAGAAGCGGAACTGTGATTTTGCTCTGAAGATCTTCTGCAAGTTGTCGGCTCCTGACATCGTGAAGAAAAAGTTCTTCCCGCAGGAGATTCTCATCATGAAGAAACTAAGCCATGATCACGTGGTGAGTGACGTAATAATGGTTTCCGTGCCTTGTCTTCCAGGCTGTATTAGTAATGTTGTTGTTGTTGTTTAATTTGCGCAAGTCAGTCAGTAATTTATGACCATTGTTGCCGAATATTCTGACACTTGGCATTACCTCAATTTGATGGTTATCAATTCGGTTTAACAATCTTTTAATAAATTACTTTTATTATGTTTTATGTTATTAAAGCATTATCTTATGCCACAGATATAATAAATAAATTAAAAAATTCATCTGTAAACAAGTATCGGTTTTGTAAACTTTAGTTATTTACACTTTTTTGTCCGACAATGCATCACATTTTGAATCATATTATTTCTATTCCACCCATCTTTTCTATCATTGATTTCAATCTCAGATTCATTTATTCGACGCACACCTCTATGTCAATATTCAATTTGTTTAAGTCATTTTTGTAACCACATTCAGGACATCTACTCAGTTTACTTCTTTGTCTCTTTTCAACCATTAATCTTTTGCGTTTTCTCTATCTGTCTCACTCATTCTCTCTCTCTCTCTCTCTCTCTCTCTCTCTCTCTCTCTCTCCTCTCCCTCTTTCTCTCTCCCTATTATAAAGTTGGGATTGGTCGAGGTACTTCTCACCAACCGTAATGGATACCTCTTGATGGACTTCATGCCTAATGGAAGTCTTCGTTCATACATTAACAAACAAGGTTAATCTAATCATTTGCATTATCACGGACTGCAACGAGTTTTTACAAGTTTATGTTATAAATTATAGCACCTTCATATTTTATGCATATCCCTCTATTTATCATTATTCATTAAAAAAAACTTTGTCTTAATTTGAATTTAATACCGAAAGTTTATCCGGGGTCAGGTTTCTATTTATTTCAAAGCATAATATTAATTTTTTCTATATAACGGTGATTTTAATGGCCCGTCACCATTCAAGGTGGTTATTCAAATATTATGCAGGCCTCTGAGATTTGTCAGGCATAGCAACAACGCAACCATCGTTCTGATTTATATTGAATTGCAATGAATCGTAACAGTGAATACAATAGCTTGTCACTCTATGGGTACTTAGGATTGAAGAACGCGCGAGGCAATAAACCGGCTTACCAACATACTTCTTCAAATGTTATGCATAGTAATTATACAAAGGTCGTTCTTGACAACCCGAAGCTTGCCCGACAAAGCAACAAGTAATGTTTGCAGACTGGATTCCAAGTATTGTAGTTCATTTATTGATAACAGGTTAATGAAATAACTCGTCACTATGTCCCCAGGCAAGAAACATCCATAAATTTGAATATGTTAGTAAACCGGTATATTGCAAAACGCGCGAGGCAAATGTGATGACATTAGGGACTTTTAGATTCTGCACGACGAGAACGCGGACTGCCCTTTTAAGGCAATGTGACATCACTGTCAGTGCCTTAAAGGACGTTACATTGCCTTAAAAGGGCAGTCCACGTTCTCGTCGTGCAGAATCTAAAAGTCCCTACTAATTTTGTATGAGGTCTAGACTCATGTTTTACGTGTTAACATCCGTTTTCGACCAGACTTTGAGTGCAAATGATTCGAAAGAATAGACATGGAAGGCGGTGTTTAAAGATGTCTCATGCATTGAGTGGTAGAAGACATTTTACAAGACACCGCTTTCATTGTATCCCATTGCTTCTATCGTAGACCATGGTCATCTATCGGAACCCGAAGCTCGATTTCTGTTTCATCAGCTCCAGTCGGCCATCGCCTATCTTCATTCCATGGACATCGTCCACCGGGATGTCAAGTGCAGTGTCCTACTCTTGGACAAAGATTATCGGCTGAAGTTAAGCGGTAAGGTCTTTCGGGTATTCTAGAAAATGTTGCGATTCTTGCAATAACAATTTCTAAAAATTCTACATATTCAGTAAATGAAAACAGCACTCATTTCGAAATTTTGAAAAGGATGGGGTATACTTATCGTTATCTTTTGTGAACTAGACTGAAGGTATGCCACATTGATTTGAAAAAGTCCAGGGAAAACGGGCCGACTTTGCCACTCCCCCCCCCCCCCCTCCCCTCCTCTAAAACCCCGAGTGATCATTTCTTTCAAGTGTGAGAGACCCGGTGAGAGAGTCTCAGCGAGTTTTACAATTTTGTACAAATAATCTCCAAAAAATATTTGAGGGTCATTTTGTTCAAGTGCTATATCACCGAAGTGGCTTATTATTATTGGTTCTAGGACAATAACCCCCTGGAAAATCATCCCAGCCGATTACCAGCGGGACAATACCCCCCCCCCCCTAAGGATAATAACCCCCGGGAAATTACCGCTAGGACAATTACCCCCCCCCCCCCCTCCCCGAGAATAACTCGTTCGTTTGTGTCTCCTTAGATCAAGATAGTTATGTAAAGGTCCTTAAATAAATTAAATTGATTAAATTAAGTTCTTCCATCGCCCGATTGCTGCAGTGGACGTTTCATTAACTACACCCCGAAAAAAACTTAATTTAAACCGACTTATTATCAGGGTATAGACTTCCCCTTTAATGAACAGGGGGTATTGTCTAAGGGGTGATTTTCGGGGATGGGGGTTGTTGTCCACTGGGGGTCATTGTCCTAGGTGGTGAATTTCCGGGGTGATTGTCCGGGGGATTTTTCCAGGGGATAATTTTCCGGGGGTTATTGTCCTGGGGGTAGTTGTCCGGTGGGCAACTGTCCGGGGTGATTTTCCAGGAGGTAATCGTCCTGATACGCTCATTATTGTGCCATTATGTATGTATATCAAAGATTTGATTTCGTCATCGTGATTTTTTTTTTGGTCGGGTTCTAGAATTTCAGTTTGCAACAAACTGCGCAGACGGTGAGAAGCTAACGGAAGCTTGTGGGTCGATGGGATATGTAGCCCCTGAGATACTTGAAGGTGATCCATATGAAGGAAAACCTGTTGACCTATGGAGTATGGGTAAGAACAGCAGCCTTTTTAGATTTAATAAAAAGCACATAGTCTTCCTTAACTGAGTAAATACATTCTCTTTAAACAGCAACAGACATGACTTGTGGATTTGGAATCCCAAACCACCAGTTTTAAAAGATGTTAAAGTAATTATATCCGTTTATTAAGCTACCAAATATTAAAAGTAAAGGCACGTGATTCTGAGACACAAAGGAATGCTGGGGGAACTATGCTCTCGATATTGTTTTTCATGTACTATGCTCATTATCTATCTATGTTTCCTCATATCGGATCCCCTAATTTAATTCTTCTATCTCAAAAAATACCCTCAATATTTTCTACTCATGTCTTTTTCATTTTCCTTATTTTCTTTGTGTATGCTGTTTCAAAGATTTGTGTTATTGTGTTTCTTTCCGATTTTTTTTCTTTCCGATTTCTTTTCTTTATTGCGTAATTTCGGTGTATACTTTTTTTTTTTCTCTCTCTTTCTTTCGATTTTTTCCTATAACCATTTATCTCTCCATTTTTTCTCCTCTCTCTCTTTCCCCACTCTCTCCCTCTCTCTTCTACCACTCTCTCCCTCTCTCTTCCACCCACTCTCTACCTCACTCTTCCCCCACTCTATCCCTCTCTCCGGCCCTTTCTCTTCCCCACTCTCTCTATATCTTTCTTTCTCTTCCTTTCTCTCTCCACCTTCTCTCTCCACCTTCATTTCCCTCCCTCCCTCCTTCCCTCCCTCTCTCCCTCACTCGCATCTCGTATTGTCTTTCATCAGGTGTGACGTTGTTTGCTATGCTGTGTGGTCGACTACCTTACCACGAGGACTGTCTAGATATCCTACTCGATTCCATCTATAATCCTCAAGAGAAACTCTGCTTTCCAAACTCTGTCTCAAAAGGTATGTCAGAGAGAGAGGATAAATAGAGAGAGGGAGAGAGAGAGAGAGAGAGAGAGAGTGGGAGAAAGGGAGAGAGGGAGAGAGAGAGAGATGGGGGGGGGGGGTCAGAACAAGAGACACGTTGGTCACTTACAATGAAAATCTGAGCTATGATCTGCACCGCAATCCATCTTGACAATATTTTGGTGTATCGGCGAGCTATAATATCATTACTTTCTTTTTCTTTCTCCCATTATGACGATATCTGCTTGAATAATGTTCGAAAGTATTTTTAGAAATACATATATTATCTTTGAATTCGTGCGAGGGAACTTTATCTAAAGAATTGTGATGAAAGTGAGACCAACGAAAATATGTTATCAATAAAGAAATGCGGATATTAATAGTCCATGAATCTTAAAGAAGAAAAAAACAATGCGTCATGAACAAAAACATTACTTTTTTACCCCTAATAATTGTTCCTTCTCCATTATTTTTTTTCTGAATTGGAGTCGCGTTGATACTTTTTACGTCATGACAGGTGCGTAACCGGGGGGGGGGGGGGGCGGTGGGGCCGGTCGCGCCCCCCCCCTAAAAAAAAAAAACAAAACAAAAAAAAACGCCGGCCCAAAAAAAAAGAGAGAGAAAGAGAAGAAAAAAGTAAGAGGACGTAGGAAGAAAAAGGGAAAAGGAGTCGACAACGGAACAACGAATCGTCTTCTTTCTCTAAGAATTTAATGAAATGTCAAAGCTTCCGCGCTTCGAAAGAGGGGACTGAATACAAATAAGTATTAAGGGTCGGGAAAGGTACAACGAATCGTCTTCTTTGTCTAATAATACGTCAAAGCTTCCGTGCTTCGCGTAGGAGGAGGGAGGAGGAGAAGGGGACTGAATTCAGACAAGGATTAAAAGTTGAGAACGGTACATCAAATCGTCTTTTTTCTCTAATAAATTAATGAAACGTCAAAGCTTGCGGGAGGGGGACTGAATACAGATAAGGATTAAGAGTCGAGAAAGGTACAACGAATCGTCTTCTTTGTCTAATAATACGTTAAAGCTTCCGCGCTTTGCGCAGGAGGAGGGGGGCTGAATCAATTCAGATAAGGATTAAGAGTCGAGAAAGGTACAACGAATCGTCTTCTTTCAAAGCTTCCGCGCTATGCGCATGAGGGGCGGACTGAATTCAGACAAGGATTATGAGTCGAGAAAGGTACAACGAATCGTCTTCTTTCAAAGCTTCCGCGCTTCGCGCGGGAGGGGAAAAACTCCCCCTCCATGCACCCACCCCCCTCGGGAGCGCGCTCTTTAAGTGATTCGCACGCTTTGCGTGCTCACTACCCGCCCCCCCCCTAAAATGAAATCCTGGCTACGCGCTTGCGTCATGATAATTATCTGTCTCTTTCCAGACTGTCGTGCCTTCGTGCACGCATTGCTGGTTCCCCAGCCTCAAAAGAGAGCCAAGTTCAGCGACCTTGCTAAAATGGAGTGGCTAGTTCACCCCACCATCACAGCACATTCACTTTTAACGTCAGCTCCTACTATGACGTCACAATATAAGAGTGGAGGAGCGGACGACGGCTGTGTGCCTGCTTCGTCGGGTGCTTCGCTCGGTAAGTTCACATCTAACCAAGATAGTGATCTTTAGAAATAAAAAAAACCTCTTTGTAGCTTGCAAAGCATGAATTTTTTTAACTTGCCACGTACATAGCCTTTCATTTTCTCTCCCATTTAATAGGAAGTATCATGAAATAATGATTATAATCAACATCCAAAATATAATTTTCCTTTCGATAATTCAGTCAATGTCTTATAAATATTTGGAAAATATTTGTAGTCGTTAAACAAATTATTTCGACTCTAGAATGACTGAAACCGTTGAGGAAGTTGATGACTTATCAAGTTTTGACGCAATCTTTGATCTGTATGACAGGGTCGACACATAGGTAGATCGAGGAAACAGAAAGGACTTCCTTTTTTTTCATTTAAAAAAAAGTATGTTTAAAAGAAAAAGAAATGCCTTATAAAGCAAATTTTAAATTTGTTTCATTTCGTATGACGTTTTGGAGCGCAAGTGACAAAGTTCATCATGGTTGGAAAGTCACACAAGGGTGACCTCTAACACAAGATGCAGTTCCTTGACACATCCATTTTATACATCATTAAAATTTTCCAGAAATATTTGATCTCTTAAAGCATTGATATTCTTCACCTGCAGATGCGATGCTGCAATCTTGCAGTAAGAAAGGCAAGCAATCAGTATCGTTCGATACCAATGTCGAGCATGGATTTTCCGAATCTCAGAAAGAGGCGGGAAAGAAAGAAGACGGGAATGCCGTCGTTACGGACGTATTGAAAGCAGTTGCTATCAGACATGCGTGAGTAATATTTGTATCTTTTGGTCATTCATTATTCTTGTAGCTATAAGCCTGACATTTGTGTCGATATAGCCGAAAGTAAAATTAAATTTTACTCGACCAACCTCAATTAAAAACATTTCTCAATTTCCCACCGTTGTTCATCAATTTAATTCATTTTAGTTTCGTGTGACACCGATTATATTTTCATTTGTTCTTCTTTCAAATAGAACGGGAGAGAGTCCAATGAGCGTCCACAAAAATCTGGACACGCCCATTGGTCACGGTCCTCATCATTTTGCACCCGACACTATAGGCCTGAAGGGACCAGCTGCGCGTCGGATCAGTGCGCAGCTTAGTCAAACGAATGGTGAGATTACTAAACTCTTCTCCGAGTATTGTAGAGAAATTTAAACCCTACGCTTTGCTTTGATATTTAGTTCAAAATTTGGTTGAACCGAGGACGTTTACTTATTAAACAAGCTCAACTTTTTCCTTTGATGGTCGGGTTTAAAGTAGTCAACCGAAGAATCAAAATTGTTTTGAATTGATGCAAAATTCGATATCATTGCGAAATGGAAGCCTTACTGGTCAAATATAACAACTTTCTTCTTTAAAATATGTTAGGGGCCCCAGTGGCGGATCCAGGGGGGGCCCGGGGGCCCGGGCCCCCCCCCCTTGAGAAAAAATCATGTAAAATCACGTGATTTTTACCTTTTTTGGGGGTTGGGCCCCCCCCCTGGCGCTCAAGGGGGGGGTGCAAATTGAAATTTTTTTGAGGATCAAAAAAAAAAAAAAAATGTGCTTACTACCCCCCCCCCCCCCCCCCCCCCCCCCCCCCCCCCCCCCCCCACTGAGCGAATTTTTGGCCGGCGCGTTTTTTAAATTTTTGGGAGCAAAAAAAAAAAAAAAAAAAAAAAAAAAAAAAAAAAAAAAAAAAATTCTGCTCTCTACCCCCCCCCCCCCCACTGAGCGACTTTTTGGCCGGCGCGATTTTCAAATTTTCGGGAGCAAAAAAAAAAAAAGTTGGGCCCCCTCCCCTAAGAAATCCTGGATCCGCGCCTGAGGGGCCCGTAGTTTCATCTCTCAAAAATGTTAATTTTGAGATCCAGATACGTGCCGCCACATGCGACACACAGCTAGCCACTAAATTGCATTTTACGCTAATCCATGATTTCTATATGATTTTTCAGCAAATTATTCGTGTTTCAAGAGAAAATCTTTAGATCCATTATGTCCATAATTATCAGTTGTCGTGAATTTTCTTCGTGTGGCTACTTTTACCGAAATATGTACGGACCTTTAGACTGTTAGGAATTAGGACTGAGCTAAGGCGTGCGAAGCAAAGCCGAGATAAGCTGGAGGCTAGGGGCTACAAGCCTACAACCCCCGGAACGATGGGGTCTGTTTGTAATTTCCATATTATCATCAAGTGTATTTTGATTATGGATATTTTAGCTACAAGAATGCGCTAGATTTTCTACCCCGGTAAAATTGTGCCCGCGTAAACCTGATGTAGACCGGCGAAAGAGGATTTTGAAAAGAGAACCCCTTTTGTTGGCAAACCATACTTAAAAAGCGCATATCACAAATTTGTTCATAATTATGCGTTGCAATATAGAGAGGAAAACAATGAAAAAGAACATTGAACATATTGATATTGCATATAATTTTCGGTTATGACCTCCAACTGTCTTGTATATTTTTTCAAATATTATTTTGTCTCATCAAAATTATTGTCTTGTCAAATAATCCTTATATCAATTACCTACCAATAAATCTCACAGTGAATTTGAATCAATCACATCAACACCATCACAACGCTCATCCGACGTCGGCGTTGAAGGCCAGCGTCACCAGAGTCGGCCATCACGGCGGCGGCCATCACGGCCTAGGCCCGCGTAAGGCGAACTGGCAGGCTGAGGGCGGTGCTGCCAACGTTGCGGTATCGCGGAAAAACAGTCTTCTAATGCAGACGGCGAATTCATGTGGGGTGTCCAATCTAGGACGCGGTTCAATCGCTCTCCACTGCGGTAAAATACAACCGGGCGGTTCAACGATTAATCTGTCATCAGTCGATTTGAGTTCGTATAACGCCCGTTGCCAGGTACGTACCGGCCCAAGCAACAAGTTAATACCAAAGCAATAATTTCAAATTGCCCAACATCGGGTTTTTGAGGTTTTTGCTGACAAAGGCACTAGCGGATTTAAGGTTTCTTTTTAACACCTAATCATGCATCAGCACGTATTAAATCATTAATAATTGAGAATCGTACGATTTTTTCTCTCTCCCCATTTCAATCAAATGAATGACTCCAAAATTACCTGAAAATTCGACATCCCCGATTTCATTTTATTTGAGATCAGAGATAAACATAATCCTCAATCCAGGGCTACCGTGACTGCAAGGGAGTTCGGCCAAAATCAAGAAATTGCAATGGAACCCATTTGATACATTTTTTCATCAATACCTGGTACCGAGGGCCCGAGCTTGCCGAAAAGGGGTATTGGAGCATATTTCATGAACATTTAAAAAATGCACCTTTTTGACACAGACTGCAAAGCAACACGATTTTGACCAATTAAAAAAAAATGTTTTTGAAGCAAATTTGAATGATAATTCAGGATAAATTGCAATATTTCAAAAAGTATATGTGCGCCTTAAAATATTTCTTGTTGGTGGTTTAGACTATTATCCCAAGGAGCGTAAAATTAATACACTATGTCTTACTTTTGCCTTTCTATTTCATAATCTAAGACAAAGGCTAATCCTGCTTTATTCTCTCTATTATATATTCATTTGTCAACAAACAGGAGAAAGATCGTGAGCATGAGCTACACGATCTCCAATATTCGACGGGGTCAAAGATCGCCCATCTAGCAGGCGCGAAGCACCACCGAGCGGCCGAAACCACCCGAATAAACTCGATCTTCACCGAGGACATGAAGGCCCAGCAGGAGCCGAATGCTTTGAAACCCGAAGAGCAAGAAATGCTCGATTCTTTCCGATCGCAATGTGATACTATGAAACATCTCGTTGCATAACGTCGAGATTACTACTAAATGAATTAACAAACTCTGCAAATAAATGAAACAACTGTACTGATGTTAGGCCTACTTGTTCACCTTTAAAAAAAAAAACATGTACAAATATTGCTCATGTACAATGGCATAATAGTTGTAAGTCATGAACAGTAACAGTCATACTCTAACTCTAAATTATAATGTTAACTTATCTTCAATTGCCTAAATTTTTCTAGTATTTATTAAAAAATGTTTGTAGATATTCATGTATGTGCTTTACTGTGGACTAACTAAAATCAACATACTTTCAATCAACAAACCGATTTTGCTTATTCTGTTGTACGATCACTCTTTCCTTTCATCCATTTCTCTCTGCCCCCCCCCCCCCCCCCCCCCCCCCCCCCCCCACAGCCACCCTCTCTCTGTGCTCCCTTTCGGTTCAATACTTTTCATCTCTCACGAAATTGTCCGCAACCCTCTTGCCCGTCACTTATTCTGTCTGTTGCCAACAGTCACTTGACCATACACACGTGTATACCGGTACTTTGCATTTGTTGCAACTATGCTGATCTCTGAAATGTATTTTGTGTGATGGTATAATATGTTGACTAGACTTTGTGTAAGTTTTATCATACACAACACATCACATACTCTCGCGGTTACTGGCTATGGATATTCTACATACATCAAACAATTATTCAACATAATAAACGATTAAGAAAAAAGATAAATACATACAAATTGACACTTTTTCAGAATTTATGGAATTGCAACAAAAAAGGAGAAGTTATCTGCAAGCGTACAATATTATTTCAGTCTAGATAAGAAATGTATATATCGAGTTGTTTTACAAAGAGCAAGATACATGAATGTACCAACAAATCAAATCCAGTTTGTCAAAGTTAATAAAAACAAATAAGTATGGCATATACTATGTACATACAAGTATAATCAAGAAAAAGATCCTTAAATAAAATGCCCATCTTTCTGATCTCTCCCTTTTTCAAAAAAATGATGTATATTGAAATAACCTTGTTATTCACGGGGGAGATGAAAGTAACAGATGAACAAAAGTAGGGGACGGAGAAGAAAATGACCAAACATGGGAACTGGCTGGGATAAACATCCTATTGTAGAGAGCTAATATAAAAGGTTCATTGTGATTATCATTGTTTGAATAACCATAAATCCACATTCCTATGGATACATGTAATTCAGTGAAAGGGCAGCATTTATAGAGGAAATGTAAAATTTATAAGGAATCAACTGCAAAGGGAGAAATTACTGACCATATTATATTATAAACGGGTCATAATCAATACAAAATAAATGTCAAATATCATGAAAAAAATTGCGAAATTATAAAAGATCTGGCACGAATAGCATTTTATATTATAATCTTAATGACAATGTAAATTAACCAACTACAGGTAAAAAAATACTCATGATGTTAATAAAGTTTCAAAATAAAACAAAATAAATATGCATACAGATTCTGGAAGTTTACAAAGATTAGATTAGAAGTAATTGCCGACTTAATAAAAAAAATAAAAGACTGAAGATATTTTACATTATGTACATATCTTACAAAAACAACAAATTTTGTATATTTGGAGGGAACAATCATATATATCAAATAATACATTAGCAATGCTTTTTTCTTCTTCCAGGGTTTACTTGTAATACCGGTATTGGTTTACCATTCATGATTGTTTTTCTTTCTAAAGCAGCTACAGGCAAAGAGGGAAATATATTAACAATATATCCTTTAAGCTAAATGATGTAGTTTTAATCATTTGATATCATTATTCCTTGGAACTTTTAATTTTAATCAAATTTGAAGAAAAAAAATCTCATCTCAACAACTAATTTATTCCACTTTCATTAAAGACCAAGCACACATGAAAGGGAGGTTAGATTTAAGAGACATAATTACATAACAAATTAAACATCTTTAATTATGAAAACAAAAATTCTTTCAAAAGTTATTTCATTCGAAACCATTTTGGCACTAAAAATACAATCACTACAAAATGTATTTCTTAAACTTTACTTCATACAATCAAACAGAGTTCCATTGGATTTCTTACTTCCATAAGAAATTAATCAACAAATCAATCAAACATCTATAACATACATCACGATAGAAAAATATTTGAAAAAGTAGAAAGTGAAAAATAGAAACGAATGTTGTCGGCTAACACTAGATTATTTTTTCATTAATGTAGACAAAACATTTTGTTTGTGCTTTTCCTATTTACACTAGCCTCACTAATCAAAACATTGCATTGAATGAATCAGAAGATATAGTTTACTGCACATTTTTTGTTAACTCTTTATCATTATTCTGCTGATTAATGCTAGAGTGTACTAGAGTTTTAGAACATTTCCATAGTTCTATATCCTCTTCAATCCGTTTCTCTACTTACTGATGAGTGTCAACTGACTTATGGATTTTTTTTCTTCTTTTGACTAAAACATATCCGAATTGAAATGAATTAAAATTCTAATTATAATTGGATGAGCACATTCCATAATAAAGTAACAAGTCAGGATTTAAATAGTAATGTACATGTAATAGAGAATTTTAGGAGTTACAAAACAAGCCGTTTCCATTCCTATTCTCAGCAATAAACCACCGTTCATACTTCATGCTTGACCATCTCTACATTTTTTTTTGTAGTCGATCAACTTAACCTACACAAGAATTGTGTAACTTGTACAAGATTCCAATCATTTCTTTTTCTCCATGGTCTTGACATTTTGCTGATATTTTTAATGTCATACACCAGACTCCAAGCACTAACTTTGTAAAATACATGTAAGTATATACAGTGAAACCTGGATGTAACGACTGCTTAAAGGAGACATGACAAGCTACCTTTATAGAAAGGTGGTCTATATGTACATTTTTCAGGGGAAACAAAAGTTTGCTGACTACCCAAATAAAAATGTGTGTTCATTCTGTAACACATGTTTTTATGGAAAGTCCAAGAAGAAGAGGTGTCAAAGAGACAGGATTTTTCAAGGAAAACAAGAAATGTGGTCTTTATAGACAAGTGGTCACAAAAGCAGGTTTTAAGTACGAACACAAATATATACACACTATGAACCTCACTGACAAAGAAAGCAGACAAAATATACAGTTCCGCAGGTAGACAAAGGAACATCCCTTCACTGCTATTATGTAAAAAATGTGTAAAACAGGCGTCACATGCTTATTCACTTTTTACATAATAGCAGTGAAGGGATGTTCCTTTGTCTACCTGAGGAACTGTATATTTTGTCCGCTTTCTTTGTCCGCCATGTTCATAGTGACAGTAGGCTTTCGGTTGCACCATGCTAGAGAGGGGGAGGATAGGGGGGGGGGGTCCTGAAAAGGACTGTCAGTAATCTTTCTTTCTCAAGAGTGTGTGTAGTCCTGAAAAGGAATGTTGGTAATCTTTCTTGAGCTTATAGTTCTAAAGAGAACTATAGCGCCGGTTGGAGAGGATGGGTGGTAGGAGTGGCTCAACGTTTCGAACAGCATGACTATCCATCGTCAGAAATATGTATGAAGAAAGAGAAATGACCACACATACAAAAGCTCCGCTCACTAAACCCGTGTACTAATTCCATACATACTGTTCTCTTGACTTCTAAAAAAGCTTGCCAGGGTCTTGCCCAACATAGCCATGTCCTTAGAGATGCCATTATTCATAGCAGGTGAATGAAATGGCTGGTAGCCATGGGTTTGAGAAACATAGAAGATATCGTCGCTGTTTTCACGAAGTGACGGTAGTGAAAAAAAATTGCATTCACTTTGCGTTACGATTTTACTCACTACCGTCACTTCGTGAAAACAAGGACGATATGCATACATTAGTAAACAGGTGTACTGGTAATCAACTCTTGTATACCTACTATTTACATAGTTTACAAGATACAGCCTGAACTTCAAAGTACATGTATCACATAGTACACTATGCTACTGCATTCATCCACAGTCATATAAACTTCAGTCTTATCATTTATATACAATTCATACATTTGAAGTTTTCATAACAAGAATTCAAATGTTCCACTGCAATACTTCCGTAAGGCCTTTACTTTACAATCTGCTCTGAATTAGCGGTCAAGTTCTCTACCCAATTAGCTTATTCTAAGCTACCGGTACTTCGATTTCTAATTACTTGTAGGGAGATTCCTGAATTTCAAATCTTGTTATTTTTTTCTAGATGTTGAATTATTCCCTGTGCATTTCACTTTATGTTCAAAAATCCCAATTTCACTCAAACAATATGATTAAATACTGGATATATCAAGATGAAAAGAATTACGGTAAACAAAATATTTAAAACAAAAATTTCCTCCCAGCTTAACGATTTACTACCCTGATATCAGTTGAGTTATAATGAGTTGTTTTCTAAATGAGCTGTGTTACACAGTGAGGTAGGCATTACGAGATATAAGTTATCATATGTACAACTTGAGAATCCTTAGACAGGTATATATTAATACGCACTTACAACCTTGCCCTAATCTTGTTGGCGAAAAACTATACTTATATATCATAAAGTATTGTGTTTTCGAGAATACAACAATTTTAATAATGAAATGATGATTTTGAACCATGAAATATTCAATATTATTAATAAAGGTCACATTATTTTCACAAAAATAAATTCATCTTATCCAGTTTATGTTAAACATATTGGAGTGTTATTTTAAATATTCATTTATCGCCCAAATTATAATTGTTACCACACCAATACTTTATTTCATGTAAATTTTCATGATTTTCTTTGTTGTCTCTTCCGTTTCTTACACATTTTCAAATCATTGACATAATACTCACTAATGTTTTTGAAACTGTTAGCTTGCTTGTGCTACCCAATCAAATACACCTCCATTTTGAAACAAAGTAATGTTAAACTTGAAATGTTAAACTAAATGTTAAATGACAATATATTTACAACATAGATATGTACAGACACATACATTAATGCCTTGGAGGTGGACTCAAAATAGAACAAAAGTTGAATTTTTTTCTTCAAACATAAACTTGAACAATGACAAATATTGAATATTATATACATCGCATATACACCAAACTATGTTCAGTGACAGCGTGCAATGTCCCATACAGAAATTTCATCAACTTTGAGGCAAATGAACCAGCCAAGTTGCCTCAAAAGAAAAATGACATATTTTCAAGAACAAACTTTTTCAGAAATTCAGATAATCTAAATGTGCGTAATCTTCTCTATCCTCGTATGAAATCAAAACTACATTAAAACTTTTTGGCTATTGATATGGATCATATGAACCAACTAAAAGTACTCAAACTTTGCCTTTTCCCATCAAATAGCTATTGCTGAAAATGATATACATGAAAAATAAATTGTGCTGTGACAGATGCAGTTATAGTTTGCACGTCTTTAAGACAGATTGCAATGAATGAATACAAAAAAATAAAAAAGGAGGAATGTGTCAATGAGCTGTTTTTGCAGTCAAAATTTCAAGAAACATAATGATAATTTTTAAAAGAAGTAAAAAAGAAAAAAGTTTGATCATTCATAAGTCTTTACAAACCAAAGAACCTGATTTTACAAATATGAAGATCAATTTATTAAAGAATTCCATTTATAGACAAGACATACAAGTACACCAAACTTAGTTTGTCATATAGTGGGGGGACCACTGGAGGATGAATACAATATACCCGACATGTGATGAGGCTGTCCAATGAGCCTTTTCACTCCTCCTCCATCTCACCATAACACTCCTCAGAGAGCATGTAGTACTTGTTGGAGAGGCGGCCTTTCATGGCGGCAATTGCGCCCTCTGCAGCTTCGTTGTAAAGCTCAGCTGAAAAACAAGGGTAAAACGGAAATTTGCTTAGCTATATAGAAACAGGGCCTGATGCATGAAACTTACCATCGATGGCAACTTTTAAGGAAACCTTGGTTTGATTGACTAACCATTGAGCGATATTGCCATGGTAGTTAATTTTTATGTCAAATTTACCATTAGTGGTAAGTTTTTATGTTACAGGGCCCAGGTTAGATGAAGTTTATTCTTTGAAAGTTTAAGAGATAAGAAACAAAAAACAAATTGATAGTTTAAAAAACTAGATGGAATTCGACTGCGCGCAGTCGAAAATGATGCCTCCGTCATAGAGCAATTTTACAAACCAAAACAGAAGAAATTTTTCGGATTCAAGTTCAATTGTAATCCATTGACAAGTTCTCAGAATATCGTGATTACAAGCAATTTCTCATATACATATATGACCCTTTGATCTTTGACCTCATGACCCTAAAATCTACTCAGTTCATTGGCTCTGCAAGATGTCCTGAGTTAAATAGTAATCCATCTGTCAGTTCTAATGAGAATGCGTTCACAAGCTATTTTTGCATACATAATGAGCCCATGATCTTTGACCTTTGACCTTAAGAACCAAGAATCTACTCAGTTCATTGGCTCTGCAAGTAACATACATGACCTAATTTTGGCAGGAATCCATCAATCGGTTCTTGAGATAACGCGATCACAAGCTGTTATTGCATACATAATGTGTGCTGTGGCCTTTGACCTTTGACCTCATGACCACTAAATCTAATCAGTTCATCGGCTCTGCAAGTAACATACATGACCTAAGTTTGGCAGCAATCCATCAATCGGTTCTTGAGATAACGCGATCACAAGCTGTTTATGCATACATAATGAGCCCTATGACCTTTGACCTTTAACCTCATGACCCCAAAATCTAATCAGTTCATTGGCTCTGCAAGATACATACATGACCAAAGTTTGGCAGGAATCCATCAATCGGTTCTTCAGATAACGCGATCACGAGCTATTTTTGCATACCTAATGAGCCCTGTGACCTTTGACCTTTGACCTCGTGACCCCAAAATCTAATCAGTTCATCGGCTCTGCAAGATACATACATGACCAAAGTTTGGCAAGAATCCATCGATCGGTTCTTCAGATAACGCGATCACAAGAACGGGACGTACGTACAGACGTACAGACGTACGTACGGACGGACAACCCGAAAACATAATGCCTCCGGCTACTTCGTAACGGAGGCATAAAAAAAAATACTTGGCTACTCTTCATCAAAATTGTTTGTTTGTCCGCTGATAGAAAGTCCTTTTATGATTTTAACAGGTTAAGAATGTCATTAGACAAGATTTCTTAAAATCGAAAGCACCACTTAGTTTAAACAACAAAATAACTGTTTACCTTAATAAAAAGAACAATGATATGTTCTTGACGTGTCTTTTTTCCGCCTCAAACAAATAACTCAACTTACCTGCTTTCTCAGGGTTCTTGTCGAGGTCCGGTCCGCCTGCCCGATACATCTCTGCCATCCTAGCACTAAGCAGGTAGTTAGGATCATCCATGGTGGAATCATAATGGCCGTCTTCATCAACCTTCTCTGTGTTGACCGCTTCCTCGTACCAGTGCATGGCCTCCAACCACGATTTCGTCCTGGTGGAATAAGTCAGAGGGATGAAAACAAACCTGTAGTGTATCGTTGATGTGACACGTGCAAGGTCAAAGGTCAATTCATGGAGCTCAAAATAGTTCTCTCCCACATGTAATCTCAATGGGAGAGAACAATTTCAGCACTCCACAAATTTGACCTTTGAACAAGATGAAAATCCGTAGTATATCGTCGATGTGACACGCGCAAGGTCAAAGGTCAATTCATGGAGCTCAAAATAGTTCTCTCCCACATGTAATCTCAATGGGAGAGAACAATTTCAGCACTCCACAAATATGACCTTTGAACAAGATGAAAATCCGTAGTATATTGTCGATGTGACACACGCAAGGTCAAAGGTCAATTCATGGAGCTCAAAATAGTTCTCTCCCACATGTAATCTCAAAGGGAGAGAACAATTTCAGCACTCCACAAATTTGACCTTTGAACAAGATGAAAATCCGTAGTATATTGTCGATGTGACACACGCAAGGTCAAAGGTCAATTCATGGAGCTCAAAATAGTTCCCTCCCACATGTAATCTCAATGGGAGAGAACAATTTCAGCACTCCACAAATTTGACCTTTGAACAAGATGAAAATCCGTAGTATATTGTCGATGTGACACGCGCAAGGTCAAAGGTCAATTCATGGAGCTCAAAATAGTTCCCTCCCACGTGTAATCTCAATGGGAGAGAACAATTTCAGCACTCCACGAATTTGACCTCTGATCGAGCAGGATTTCTGCTCTGCATATAGTTTTTGTTATGACTTGAAATTACTCTTTTTTTTTGTTGCGATTCAATTATAACCTATTAGGTATGATCTGTACCAAATGTGTGTTTATGTACATAGCAGAGATCAGAGAGTTGCAATGAGCAATCAGGGAGGAGAGCACGAGTAACAAAACTTTGTATGTGCGATTGATGTGTGGTCTTTGAGGGTACACTGTATATATATGGATAGCAATTTAGCTCAGAAAGATTTACATGAAAACACACCAAGGAAATCCCATCCTTGCTATACCAAATCACAAAGAATAATTCTCAACGAAAAGACTAGGTTACAGTACAACCAGAAGCTCTTGTCATCTTTGCCCAAATTCATTATTCTATGAAGAAAAGAAAAACACAGCTAAAATGCATTTGCTCAGAGCCAGAGTACATACCTAGCAGTTCCCAGGTTGTGACCGGTGTCGTATGCTCTGGCTACAAACAGTATGGCTGCCCTGTCCCCTGCCTCTGCAGCCGTCTCCATGTAGTCCATTCCCTCGTTCATATAATCTTCATCATCACTCTGTGAAGGTCAAAGGTTAGACCCAAGGATTGTGAGATAGGAACAAGTCAAGGAATGAGTAAGTTGAAATACAAAATGGTTACAACAAAAGACAACAAATACCAGTGCTACAAAATATACTTGTGGCTGTGCTTCATCAAATATACAGTGTTAGGTTACAGGGTTAGGATTTAGGGTTGTTATAAAATGACACTAAGAGAGGTCCTACCACATAAGCGTCATACTTTATTTTGTCAAAGATACAGGGTTATGGTTAGCCTTGAAAAAAGGTTTTAGGTTCAGGCTCAGGTTCAGGCTCTGGTTCAGGTTTGGGTATGGTAAGTGTTGCGTATTAAAGCCTATCTGCACTAGTTTGGCCAGGAGGGATTAGACCTCCCTGCAGGGTCACTGACAGGTGGTTATCTCATCAAATAAGGTCTCGATTAACATAACAAAAAGGGGTCATGGGAGACCAATGGTCACCAATTAGGCATTGTTTGCTATATAGAGGGTGCAAGTAGCTATAAGTAGTGCAGTGCGGCTTTATACCAAGGGAAATTGTCACAGGGGGATCGTACGTACAACCCTACAAAAAAAACGCTACTCACCGGTACAGACACCTCGGTGAGTACATCGTGGGTTAGCTGTAGGCAGATCCTAGCCATGGCAATGATAGCTTCCAGGACTCCGCAGTCCGCACCGTGACGCAGATGGTAGAGGGCAGCCTCCATGTTACGGCTGTTGTCATCGGGAGCGAAGCGGCCCATCTCGTGGTACTTAGCCATGTCCAGATGAATCTTAGAAGTAGAAGTTCACCAGAACTGTCGAGTTATTACACATTTTGGGCCTTAATGGGGGTTATTAACAAATAATCCCACTTAAAGATAATGTTGAGTTTTGGTCATGCGATTGCATTGTGAAAGAAATGATGGGGAATCGAACAGAAAAGGTTGATCATCTAGCATATAAGTATTGGTGTGTATTGCAAGGTTCTGGAATCATCAAAATGATAAGAAATTTGGCCCAGTCTTGGTAAAGTTACAAGCACTGTACACAGAAAGATGTATATGGGACTACACGAACATGTGGCGTAAAGACCAGTCCCGATTCACATGCTATATTTCGAATATTAAGGCATTTTAAGAACCATGCTTTCCAGGGAACATTTTTTATCTGATGTTCTTCCACACGCATAACAACAATGATAACGCTCACAGATTATGTTTCACCTCTTCCCAGAAATCAAAATTCTCTTTAATGTGTCCTCTCTCCTCCTGAATCAAATCACATCATATGATACCGTCCTTATATTACACATTCTTTTACTTTCTTTATCAAAATTTCGAAAAATATCTATCACGCTTTTTCTCCTGTTCAAGTTTCTGCCATACTTTCACCATGAGACTCAAGCCCCTCAGTTTCTTCCTTAGAGTACTTAAGAGTATTTTCACCCCACTCTCCTGTAACCACAATTAGAACAACAAAAAATGTTTTAAAAAAGAAAATGTTGTTACCTGTCCTAAGATAGAGCCTCCAGTACTGGTCACCAGCATAGTCTTTCGCAGCTGAACCTCCAGGTTCACACAGGATGGTCTGTGGTTCACATTTCTTTCCAGAAATTTTGCCCTTTTTTCATCATCCTATTAAAACAAACCATCAGAATTGCATGTCTTATGACAGGGAAATGACACAAAACTTATTTTTTTATAATATCATTCATGATCTTCATTTCTTAAAAAAGAATTTTGTAAATATAAGCTCCAAATCACTTGCAGTAAATGATAATTACATAAATACATGTATGTAATAAGAAAAACAATCTTACAACTAAAAATTGCAAAATATATGTGTTTTCAAAGCCTTTCTAATCCAGCCTTCTTGTTAAATGGGGTGTAGCATGGCAAATACTCGTATTATACCCAATTGGCCTGAGTCAGGCCACGGCAAAGACACAGTCTCGTCATGCTACAACCCCTTTAACAGCATCATTGCTGACTGCTGAGGGCAATCCAACTTACGTGAGACAGCGTTTCGCTCTCGCTCTCCGAGTCCAACCTAAAACGTGCCGTCCTTCTTTGGAACTGATTGAGCACGCTTGGAGGTGGAGACATCGACATGGCGACATCGTCAGGTGATGAAGGGAGCTCCTGGAAGGAAATGCGCCTCGGAGGCGATTCGGCAAGCGGAGACAGGACCACGCTGGAGCCCGTCGACATCTGCGAGTTGGACCGCTCGAAAACGACGAACTGGGTCATGTCGAGGGGGGAGATGGAGGGCCTTGCGCGAGGTTTGAAGACGCGGTTCTCGGTACCTCGGCAGATGGTCCCAGAATTTTTCTGGGGAAAAGAAGCAAGACAACAGGATAGAACGGTTGAGCTTTAAAGTGTACCAATCACAACAAAAAATATTTAATGTACGTTAGTAGCTCCATGTCGTTATATACTATATTTGGCGTATGAACTTCAAAATATTACTTCTGTTAAGAGATTTTCAAGTTTAATAAATACAACCTCAACTAGAAATCTGTATTGCCGTGCAATGTGAATGTATCCCCCGGCAGTGGCAGCGACTTTGTGTCATCCTTATGTTCAAAGGAGGGACAAAGATCCCCTCTCCTCTCCCTGAAACAGAAAGATGACGTCAAGCTATTAGGATTTTCAAAGCTTTAGATTTTGAGTTTTCAGAGAGCTGATACTCCTCTGACAAGACACTAAAATGGCATATAATTGATATGATTGTAATGTAAGGCTAATCCATTTCACTTTTCAGTTTGGATATGGTCTTTAAAGCATGCTATCATTCATTTAAACACATTCATCTGTTTACTCTAACCTGCAGTTTCACGTATTTCTCATGTTCCGTGAACTCAGAGCAGTGAAGGTCAAACTGGGTCAGCTCCAGATGGTCACAGATCTCGTTGCAGGCATGGGTGGCGAAGAAGAGCGCCATCCCGCGCATGCCGAGGTTACCCTCGTTGTACTCCGTACCGGTAGAGGTGTGGATTTGAGGATCGGTGTACAGATCTCCCACACCTGAGGAAAGTTCAATGCAATTCAATTTTATTTCGTCCAATAATGACAAGGAAATTCATTGTGGGATTTTACATATTGTGTTTACATTAAAAATAAAATCGTGCATAATTACATTCAAAATCGGTGAAAAATTGGAAAATCATAACATGACATCTTGTCATGACAAATTTTTGATGTGTGGTTTGAGATGACACACACAATTGAATTGAAATAAAGAATGCACTATCAAGGAGAGGCAGGGTATTCATACCTCAGTCATACCACCAAGACTGGCACCAGACAGACAACAAACAAACACCTGGGAAAGTCATGAGAATGTTTGATGAGTGGCTTTGAATGTCAAACATAATCAAATTGAAATAGAGAATGTAATATCACCTCTCGAGCGTCAGGGCATTCATACCTCAGTCGCACCATCGAGACTGAAACCAGACTAACAACAACACACACACACGACCTCTACTCACCAAACATCTGTGGACGGTGTCACTGACATATAAATCGTATACTTTTAACACAATGTGAACACTCTTCTATCTTTCAACTGAATACATTACTTGTATAATGAATCCTGAATAAAATATAGATTTTTTTCTTCACCCTAACAAAATTGTATTTTTCTGATCTTCAATCTCAATCAGTTTCATCGACCTGTTCCTCTCATCTTTCTGCTTCTATCAAAACCAACTTGATATCAGAGTGGACTTCCCCTTAAATGTTACATGTGTGAATAAGGCTTAAATCTGTAAAAAAAAAAAACAAATGAATGCACGGACTGTGTCAATACAGACGCTTACCTTGGATGTCTACAACGATGAGCTTGTGACCGGACCTCTCAAATGTGAAATGGCTGAATGCCTGAAAGGAAATAAAAACAGGAAGAACATTCTTCAAAGGCTGCAGCACTTTTTTTACCTCAATATTCCATGGACTTTGAACACTGTGACCCGAATTTACAAAGAGGTTTGTCAACAAACCTTGGTTTTTGTACGTCATATAAAGCGTTTGTAAAAACGCATCGAAACGAGTCATATGACGCACGAAAACCAAGGTTTGTCGACAAACCTCCTTTGTGAATTCGGGCCTATATGTCTGCTTTAGTTGACGGTAGGGATTAAAACTATCTCATTTCTGTAACATAGGCTTTATTACTGAATCCACTATAGGTAATGGGTTAAATGAGGGAATATTTTACATTTTTCAGATTTCATGGTTAATCTTACCCTATTCAAAAAACATCATTTCCAACAAACATGAATTTAATAAAGTGTGTATGCGTGCATTAACTTGTCCACTCAACGAGATGTCTCACTCTACACCGAGAGTGTATTTAATCTGTGATATCTCTTTGTAGAAGTAATATTCTAAGCTTTTATTTTGACTGCAGTATGATAATAATAATAATATTTAGCTTTTATATAGCATTTAATACAAAAGTCTCTAAGCGTTTTCCAGATATACTATTATCCCGGTCATTGGATTCAATACTTGACCGCACACACTGTGTGCACAATCTCCACTCCCTGGGGAGCATCTCAGCCAGGCGTAACTTAGCGACATGAAATGTCTTACATCAAGAGCCAAACATGTTTTAGTGATTTGTACACTTTAGACCACACCTACATGGCACCCCCCGAAATAGTATCACTGTTTATGCTTGATGTACTGGCAAAAAACATACCTGTGGTGTTTTTCGGAGTGCTTCGTCCCTGACGAATCCAGAGTTTGAGTTGTACTTGATGTATTTGCCCTCTATGTAGCTCTCCAAATGGAAGAGAGGCTTACCAGGTCGATTCATGAACTCCAGGACAGCCATCTGAAAGATATCCACCTAAAGAAGCAAAAACACACACAAAAGTTTTGAAACAAATCTTATTATAAAAGAAACATTAAATTTGTTCATGTTCAATTTCAATTTTCAACTTTCAATTTCATTTATTTCCACAGATTCAAAAAAAGGCAGTATAAATTACAATCAAATATAAAAGCATTACAACAAAGGATGAACCTGCAGAGGGGGTGATCAAAAACCACAGAGGTTTATCGGGGATCATCCCCTGCTTAAAATTACAATATCAAAATATAATAGTTTTTTTTTTAATTAAACAATAACATACAAAAACAAATATAGATATTACATGCAAATCTATGTGTGGGGTGAGTAGTAGTGGGTTGGTGGTACCAAGAAATACAATATATAGAGGAAATGAATGATTTACAGGAAAGAAATATTGAGAACAATAGAAAGAAACACCGTACAAACTATATCTTAAGAGTTCGATACGAGATCAAATATTGTTTCAACTTTGACTTGAAAGAATAAAGCATTACAACATGTTGAATACACATTTCTTAAAGGCATCATTTAACAATGCTAAATCTGAGATGCATGGCCCTACGTATTATCAGTGTCTGTGATATGGTGTAATAATGAAGCCCTAACAAAAATTGCGCTTCAAAATGAAGTGCCTCAAAAAAGTAAAAATCTTTGAGTGACCGGTTTTACCATACTCATTTTCCCCAATAAGACTGTAGTGTTATAAAAACTGTTAGGAAATAAATATCTTGATAATCAGACAGGCGTTCGGCTTGTAAAAGTCATGGGATTCCTGACTGACCTAAAGGTTTATAATTATGATTGCAGCATCAGCTAAATCCAGAATTTTTTCTTCAGAATCTGAGACAAAGTTACAGAGTCACTTTAAAGTAGAATAAGGACTCACCTTCTTTGGAGGATTGTGGCGGTTGAACTCCTCTCCCCAGATCTTGGCGTCCATCTGAAGACGGACATCTTGAAAATAGACGTCTCTTTCCACCGTCTCCATGTAACGCTTAGCGACAAAGTTACCAGAGTTCTTCCACTGGTGATGCTTGCTGAAATTAGACTTCTTCTTCCTGAAACAGATGGAAAGAAGGTGCAAAATTCATCATATGAAGCAGGTAAATTTACAGCACATTAGAAACATAGCAACTAATATAATCGTGATGTATTAATCTTTTCAAGATACTTTCATGATCCTTACTTCTTACAATTAGCATTGATCAAACCATTTGAATTTTGATTTTTGTTGTTGTTGTTGTTGTTTTGTTATCATGAACATAATGTTGAAACCATTGCAAATCATGACTGTGAAGAGGGAATACATTCGATGAAATCCTTCAATCACCCGATATTATTAAAGTTATTGCTCTGCACGCACCCTTCACTGCTGTGGATAATTCTCTAACTCTTGCCAACTAAACTTTGAGGATAAAAATCACAGAATCATCGCCCTTTTAAATACATACACGACATACCAATCACTTTATTACTTTCATATCATATTATAAGGCAGGGTATTCTACTGACAGTATTTCAGATTTATGTATACTGCCATCTGCTGCTCACATTGTCCCGATGTGTCTACAACCATGTCCCACAATGCATCACCAACCGATGGTGAGATGTGATAATGCTTGGGAAATGGAAATCGCTCCATGAACACCTTTACCGAAAGATGGTGCTATTAAAAATACTTTACAGCAGTGGTAGCGATGTTGGTAAAATACCCTGCCTTTAAGTTTGTTTATTTTAAATAAACTGAAAATAAATAAATAAAGGTGTGCATGAGCTTCAGTAGAGCAAAAGTTATGTTGATATACACAGGAAACTTACATTCTAAAACACTCTCTCATGGCTCCATGTGCAAAAGACTGGTGGGCAGAGAAAAGAAAGTGATTTGACATTAGATTAGTTTTCTCAAAAAGGAGAAAATAACTCTACCACGACACATCACAAAATTAATAGTTGATGCCTTTTAAGGTCTGTTTTGAGTCAGAAGGCCATAATTAACTTTGTACTTAAGTATGAATTAATGCTCGTCTGGCTCCAAACAGAGGATGTTTTAGATTTAGTGCATTGTAACATTTGTTGCAACTTGTGCTATTTTGTTTTGTTGTCCTTGCTTGTTATGTTTTCTTTTATTTCTCAATAAAAACATGATATTAAAAAAAAATCTAAATAAATCGTAAAAATCTCTCACGAGATCAATCTCTACTGCAAGTAATGAAAATGATCTTTGAAGGGAACATGAAGGGTCAAAGAAGCGACTGACCTCTGAACCCATCTTGACCTGGACTTCATCCTGGACCCAGGTCTTCTCGACGGCGTTGTAGCGATGTCTGATGGCCGTGTCTATGGGGAGATCCTCCAGGTGGAACTCCTTCCAGGGGTCGTTCATCTTCCTCACCTGCTGGAAGGCCCACTTCCACTTCAGCTTGGCGCATGTGGGGCTTCTCTTCTTGGTCCTGGATTCAAGGTTTGGAGGGGAAGGAAGAGAGAAAATCTCATTTTATTTATTTGTCCACCAGACATTCGACAACAATAATTGTTTGGCTCACATGCATGTCCAATAAAAAGCCCATACAGGTTTCACGGTGATGTCTAATAGACTCAGGTTTTATGAATATAGGCCCAGGGGAGTGTTTTACAAAGACAAAGATCTACTTTCAGTTTGACTTAACTATGGCAGGCCGTTCATGCCACTGTTTGCTCTCACCATTCACTGGCATTGGTCTCTCAAAGGATGTACAAATCATGGTCACAGAATTTACATTTTTTGATAATTCTCTATCACAGGAAAATATGTTATCTAAAGATCATAATGGTGAGAGTAAACAGTGGCATGAATTGCCTGCCATAGTTCAGTCCAAATTAAAGTTGATCTTAGTCTTTGTGAAACACCCCCAGGTCTTCTTGGGGGCAGCTGAAGAGAAGGTCGTATCTCATCTAATCCAATCAATCAACAAGTTATATTTGCCTATTTCTTTGTGATCGATGTCTAACTCAAATTGCAATCAATTTAGAACCCTCTCTGGAGGACAGAGATTACCTAAAAAGCTTGGTTCACACCCACCCCTTCCCAAATGTGTATCCCATTCTACAGACCCTATATTAAGAGAGAGCTGATCAAAAGAAAGATAACAGAGAGAGAGATAGACAAAGATTCATGAGAATCTAGAAACCAGGAACACAGCAAATCAATATTAGCCTTACATGCCAAATGTAAAACCTGTAAAGTATACATGTTTTATCAAGGCACCTTCCTGAAACTACAGTAGCAGTGCACTTCCTCACATTCTGAATTCTGAATAGAATCCCTCATATAACACTTACTTGTTGTTGATATTCTCATTCTTAATTGGGGTACTGTGTGTCGCCGGCTCCTTGAGCAAGAAGTCGATCAGGGGCTCGATGAGCATCTCCTCGTCCTCGTCGCTACTGTGATTATGATTTCCATTGTAGTTACCGTTGACCTGGTGGTCGTGGTCGAGGTCGGTGATCTCAAATTGGAGATCCGCCATGGCGTGCTAGGGACTGGTGACCGGGGGCAAAGGGCGGGGACGGCTTAGGGAGGAGGGGGAACTTTAATTCTAAGGTGAGGAGGAGTAATGGTGGTCGGTTTGTTGGGAAGCTGGCGTTCGACGTATACATGAAGGAAGCTCTCAGGAACAGGGTTATCAACAAGTCAGGGTCTGGTTTCAAACGGTAAAGAGGGATCGACTATTTTCGATGTTGCTATACGATACAGTAAGGTTGTGCTTCAATGGAGGGCAAATGAAGTGATGATTCAACTCCAACCAAAAATTGGAGTAAGGTTTGCGCCGACTTTTTTTAAAGGGATCTTTCTGTCAAGTTGAGTTCCAGGGGAACATGATTTCTTGAGGGAAGTTTGGAATGAGTGTGAGATTTGCTAACGATGATCGCAACAGATGGTGGGGAAAGAGAGGTGACTTGCTTTCCCGTAAACAGGATATCTGGCTTCAGGCAGTGAACGGTCCTAGGATCTGTAGCAGGAAAATGAAAAGTATTAGATGCATGAGATTTGAGGGGCTTTTAGCAAACATGGATTTATCTAAAAGAAAAATATCAACAGAACAAAATGCCAAATGACATATGATCGTACATACTGTGTACTCAAGTATGTGATTGGCAATAAAGAAACAAGCAACATATAATCAATCATCCATTCGATTGAAAGTAACATGTAATATATGTGTACTCTACAACCATTGAAAAAAAATGCAGTCACATCAATTTCTAATGTCCTTTATGATTTGTCAGAAAAGCATGTCACTTATCATTATCAAATGTTAAAGAGAGATCATAAATTTGGTTACATTCCAAGAATTACCTATTGTAGTCCAGAAGTTAATAATAACACAGAACGATAGGATATCCATGTATTGCAAACTAGATTTGTCTGGGGCTGGGAGCAAGTCTAGGCATGTGAAGGTGTAAATTGATGCTTCCAAGTCAGACAAACAAGTTAACTTGATTGCCAATCATCACGTACAACTCAGGTATGTTTTTTTTAATTTTTTTTTTTAAAGCAGATGTTTCTGCATTTATTGATAAATCAAATAAAACATTCAAATAACAATAATAGTATATAATATAATTGATTTACATATAGAGTGACAACTTAAATACACACAAATAAAAATGCATAATTGAAAGCTTGAAAGTATGGAAGTAAAAATAATCAAGATAAATGCAGAGGCCAACTATCATACGCAAGAATGCTTGAGTCGATAGCAGCCGGGAAGGGGGGGGGGGTACATGGTGCTGTTAAGTATGTAGGGGAATAGAGTGTCACATATAAAGATTTTGTTCAGATTTTGTTTGGTAGTGACTAGTGAGCCATGGATATATATATCAATTTATCCATTGATATTATTTTTCTTAATGTTGCTTTACAGTTGCTGCAGTATGTATTATAACCGTTGTGAGTCATCATGACGACAATGTTTCACATTATTCATTAGAAAGTAAAATATAGAATACATTTTTTAATGCAATTGATGACAAACTTGACATAATAGCAAAAGATAAAAACTGTCAATGACTGTTGAAGTAGGCTGCAAACAAGACAAAACAACTCAGGAATTGATATCATAAATACATTTCTAAAGTCTTCCATCTGCTAAAGTCACATACTGTAGGCATACGTGACAATGTTCATGTTCAACTAATCAATAATTCTCTTTGCCATGAAACATGATAATATCATTTGTTCGCAGCCAGAAGGGTGTTAACTCTGTAGTAACGTATGTGAGTTAATGTCCTTCTGGCTCTGAATAGAAGATATAAAAACAGGATTATGAGTGAAAGCGAAAGACCATTCATTCGCTGCCTGATCAATGCAGGCCGACTCATTTACTGTAATTAATGCCAACCCACGCAACTTTTCTTTCACATCAGTATCAAGCTGAAACATGAAAAAAATTAATCAGCACAACTAGATGAGCACGTATGTAATTAAGTTCAATAAATATCATTAAAAAACAGTCTATAAAAAAAGAAAATGATACATACATGTACTTTTATAGCACGTTCCTTTGAGCAATGTTTAACAGTCATGCACAAGTTCATTCAACGTTGTAGTTCACTGTATCATAACAGCGCCTATCAGTATAGATCGAGGCACTTAATTGCAAGCGTGTTGACAGTATCAGCCATTTAAGAAATTGACCCCAAACATAACCTTTGCTCTTATCCGCACAACAAGGCAGTGGAACACGTCACATCTTTCGCAAACAGTTTAAAGTCCACTTATCTTCCAGATTTTCATGATAAAATCAGGGATGGATGTTTGTACATTGTTAAATTTCTTAACCTTATATGCATGTAAATTGGCAAATATGTTGGAAAAAAAGTGTGGATTCATAACTTTCTTGATATAAAATTTAATTGACACTATAGTATCTCAAAAAGTCTATACTATAATTCATGTAGTTGATGAGATTCCTTTAAATATGTTAATTACATGAACAGTGTTAGTAATTGATGGGGGGGGGGGGGGTCGAGGGTGCTGGGTCCTGTGATAATTGAAGAGTAGGCCAATTTGTTTAGTTTTATTTCTTTGTAAGTCCTCTATGAGAATTCCTGGCAATAACTAATCAAGATACCTTCGAAAGACATTGCACGTGTACTTCATAACACACATACATTTACAGTACACATACAGTGTAGCTCCTGAATCTATGTGTACTGTAACTACATGACATATACAGAGAACATATGTATGTCCATGAGGCAAAATTGGCAATCACTGTACTGCATCCATAGGACTCTGCAAGTACAGCACCACGGACCCATACACTACATAGAGGTGTACACTGACTTGTGAATGTGTGTGCCCTCTCGTCTCTAACTGGGTCAGTCTAGGTCACATGACCCCATACAGCCTGCGTGACTGACGTGACGTGATATGGAACCAATCTGTAGCCAATCGAGGCTGCACGTGGCACATCAGTCAATGCCAGTATAGCATGCCTTTCTTTCTCTCATCGCTTTATGCAAATAGGCATTTAACTTCCCAATTCTCTTGGAATGGTGCCCAAATATGACATGAAAATATGACTTTGTATGAAGAAAAAATCTGTTTGAACTATTTTCAGGAACTAAAATCTACAGCATATCCTACAGTGTATATAAACAACACCTGATCTCGATATTTATCAACATACACTTGTGTCAAGAGAATCTTTGAACTGGTTAAGAAATGGAAAGAAATATTAGGTTCAGAATCATGTTGGTGGAAGAAAAATTATATTAGTAGACACTCACTCAAACTCAAAAAAATATACATGTACATGTTTGAAAAGCGTATTTTTGCACATCCCTCAGATTCAAATGTTATCTAGCAACAAAAACAAAAACAAACATGTGCATCCCAGACGAAAACAAAACCGAGAATTATCTATGTTTTGTCATAACTTATTCACAATCATAGTTAACAAATGACTTATTTGTAAAGCTTGGATTCTCGATCCTCTTTCATTTGATGCAACTCATATAATCATGCAGGAGTGATTAAAAACAATTTGAAGAAAGAGTACAAAAAAGTCATTTGGCGAACGGTATCTAAATTTCAAAGAGAATATCACATTTCTAGAAAGTTCATTTTCTGCCCTTTCATAAAGACACCTCAATCAGGAAAAAAGAATCAGGAATAACAAAGCTCTGTTTGTTTAAAATAATGGTTGCATTTCCATATTTTTTTTTCCTAAATTCATTTTCACTGGCTGCCTACCGTAGCAAAAAACAGAGTTGACAAAAGACTTAACTCCGTTTCGTTGACGATCAGCCATGCATAAAGTCTTTTTGTCTTGATAAATCAATTAATGAAGAAATAAATAAATTAAATAATAAATAAAATAAACACTGCAGAGTGATTTCACTCTGGAATGCTACAAAGTGGCTCCAGAATTCGGAAAACAATTGCTCAGAAGGCTTGTTTTTTAGAAAAGAATAAAAAATTCCATGACAGAAACTAATATTATAATGCATAAAGAATGAAACAGGACAAACTACAAGATCGTAACTTACATGTACATATGTACAGGGGTGTATATGATCCAGATTTCATGTTTTTCTTTTCAAAGCACGTACATGGACACCAACTCACGCCCTATTGTGAAATGCAAATTGCTTTTCCACTGTGGAATTTCATGATTCATTTTCAATAAAAACCCCTCTCAAAGGATCATTACCCCATCGATTTATGAATATTTCGCAACAGCCATGCATGACAATGATTGCGTGACGATGATTGTATGGCATCATACTAGTTCTTGTAGCAGAGAACCATATTCATGTATTTTTCTATAGATACAGTCATATAGCCTAAAAAGCTGATGGAGTGATAACAAAATGAGCATTAAAAATACCTGAAATAACAAAATTGGAATTCAGTATTTTTGAGTGCATTTTGTAAAAGTCTTACAATGTTTAGCCTACAAATTGAGTGCGAAGAAAACTAGCAATGAAAAAGCCTAAAATAACATAAATATATATTGGTTTGACTTTTTGTGAAAGAAATGATGTTTGATACTGTAATCATTGACAATCACATACAAAGTTGTTCTGCCAATCACTTGGGTTTAAGGGGGCAACAATTTTATCTTGTATACATGTGTGTTACATGTAGTACATGTACGTGATGTAAACAAGCTTTATGAAATATGGCTATGACATAAATTTATGATGTGTTTAACTACAGTAACGTATCAAAAGTAAACATTAAACAGTGGTCCAAAGTACAAACTTGTTGTTGTGACCCAGCCAGCCAGCCAACTGGAGCTGTAAAATAATTGATTTATCTAGGGTATTCCCAGCTGGAAGATTTTGAAAATTTAAAAATCTGTGTAAATAAATATATAATACACCTATGGAATATTGATCAGCTGGACGCTCTAAAATCAACTTGAAACGCTGCCAAAATCAACATTATCTACATGTATTGAGAGATGTAATGTATTAAGGGCTCTAAATCTGTGTTATTGGTTAAACCCATCTGGCCCTCTGGTGAAAAAATGACAGGATTAAGTTTTTTGTTTCTGATGGTCATTAAAAGATTTTTTATCATTCAACTCTTACTAGAAAGTTGAGAGTACTCCATTCCATGGTAACTCGCGTTACACTTAATGGGTACATTGACACGATAATGTGCCTATATCTTTAGAACTGCTAGGATCTACAAGATACTTTTTTCAGACATGGACAGGGTAGATATAGAACAACTGAATGAAACAAAAAAGAATATTGAAGAACAAACATTTTTAGATTCTTGGATTATTGAATTTCGGTAACTCGCGTTACAAAAAAAGGACATGGTCAATTCTACGAGACCCTCTTTTCTCCTCATACTAGACAATCTTGACAAAATCTTTCCTACTTTAATTTGATAGTAGGTTGTGACTTACTAGTATAAGATCACAATATTAAAGATAAGAAACAATGGACTAGTAAAATGCAGGAAGCATATATGGCGGTAACTCACGTTACGGTAACTCGCGATACATTTTGTCCGGAGGCCATTTTCACCCCTGTGTAATGTACATGTAATAGATTAAATATCACAGGACCCCTTAGAATATGGAAATATATTCATCGTTTTCCATTTAGCGAAATTTTCAGGAAAAAATATTACAAGAATCCTGTGTAATCTGCAATAAATTGGTTTTTTTTCAGCTACAGTCCCACATGTACGTTTTTGATGATAGTTTGAGATCTTAGGAAATCAACAAAAATGAAAAAAAAATTGTATTGAATTTGAAAGGCCCTAATGTTTTATGAATATCCATGGCATAAGGTTAGTGATAAATCAAAGAATTAACATAAGAGGTACATTTCTTTTTTTGATGTCATGTCCTTCTTCTCATGGAATGGCCTGTATTAAGGTGATAATGGAAGCAGAAAATATGGATGTAAAGGAATCTAAGATACTTGAAGGTGAAATGATGAGCATTATCAACAAAAATTAATTTACTTCTTTTTAGGCTGATTTAACAAAACATGTGACTTAAAACATTGATCTTTATTTACCATAGAATATTACATTAAATACATTGAAAAAAATATTAAATAACACTCAATTTTAATATAAGTCTTAAAGTTATTCAAAGTTGTTAAGTGTTGCAAGGAGAGGACTATATAATTATCCAATATCCATAATTTTAAAAAATGGTACGTGTATCTAACTATCTATAAAATTATTCTCATCACAGTACAATGTCGATTACTATTCTCCAAATCAACATTCATATTTCTCCCCGTTTTGCTGATTATTATTTATTTTTTTTAGTGATAATTTATCTTAAATTCTAAAGCAAATCAACAATAGACACTTCAAGTACTTTCATGATCACATCAAAAGTTATTTGTAGCCTTAAAGGAATATGCCACATGATCTGAAAACATGTTCCTCCCAGTAAGTGTTTATCCACTCTTCCAAAATCATAATACACAAATATGACAGTGTTTGTCCATCCAGGGTACAGAGTCTCTGATATCATAAGCACATCACCCAAACACAATCCAATCAAACAAGTCGTTGAATATCAGAGAAGCAATTACCACAGCAATGCTTTAATAAATCATCTATATATTTACCTGATAATATTCAACCTTCACACTGGAAATCTGCAAGAAACATCCATGAATATTGTGGCAAAACTTGCAATATTACAACTAGCAGCAAAGCATTCAACTCTAATGACGAACGTGGTACATGTATGAACCATATGGGGCAATGTTATACTGCGTATGTACATATGTACGGAGCGACACCACGAGTTGTTGAATCGCTGTTAAACCCTCGCCAGCCGACCAAAACAATGCCTCTCACGCTGCAGTTTGAGTGCTGCTTGCAAAGCCTGGAAGGCTACCCTGGTAAACACATTGCCCACGCACTGAACTCAGCTATAGTCTCTGGAACACAACCCCCGTGTATTCTCGAATCATCGAGTCTGCGGTCTGTGGCTCTGTGTTGAGAATGCAAACAAAGGGTATGGTACACTGTACCTGTGCGAATGCCCTAGGCACTATTGAAACAGGTTTAAATGGGATAGGATGGTTTGCATATAAAATATTCAATAAAATCTGGCTTCGGTATACATCGATTTAAAACCAAACTTGTTCATGCTTGCACAGAATATCTAAACTATATTCACAAGAATAATGGTATTCAGACCAAAATCAGTAAACATCATTTGTAGAAACTGAATAATATAGCTTGTACGAACAAGTACCACCAGGAGAATTTATGTGTAACCCGAACGAGATAACTTTATTCACACCGAAATCACCATAAATCCATTGAAGAAAAACAAATTAGTCTAGGGAGAGCTGGCATCATAACCATGATATACAACACATCATAAAATCAAAGCATATGTTTCAGTATACTGTACATGCAATTTATCATTCAATTGAGTTAAAGTTTCTGAATGCCCCTCAAATCTATTATGATTGGTATTAATAATAGAATTATTACTATTATCTTTATCAATATCATTATTTTTATTGTTATTATGATGTCATCATTATCATTATTATCATCATCTTTTTGTGATGTGTATCATTATCGAATCCTACTTCATTTTGGAATATACTGTACCCAGCATTGGTTTTCTGTTACATGTTATCATACCAGTTCCAAGAAAAACAGCAAGCCTATTTGTATGCTGTGTGCATGTACATGAATAGTTTAGTGTGGTTCTGCCAACATGGCTGGTAATCAGATAACAAATAATTGTTCGGGGTTCAACCAAATGTCAGCCTAAAACATTTTTCGCCATGTCAATCATTGATTAAAAAATTAAAACATTAAAAAATGTTAGCATGGTCAGATGAGCTAGGTACATTAGAAAGAAAAAAATTAATTAATATAATCCCTTCAGAAATATAAGGGCTTATGTTAAACAAGAAGGAACAAAATCACTGTTTTCAGAGATGATATCTTTTTGCTGCTTCAAAACTGCAGACACAAAAATCAACATCAAAGTCCTCAACTGTCCTTAAAAAGTATGAATGCTACAGACTACACAGGTTCCAGATTGAACTTGGTCATCCCACTCCGTCTGCAACGTCACATGACCTCGCTTGTGATTGGTCAGCGGGGCATGATCTGGTGTTGCTCTCCTGTGGTTTGTTGTGGCCAGGACTGGGGCATGCTTGCCATGATAAACAAGCACACATGTGGAAGCGGGACGGGAGGGGAGTATATTCACAAGCACGTCTATATTTAGGGATGTTTTCATTTGCTGGTGATGAAAATATAGATTTGTCCCAGAAAATGTGAGGTGTTCATTTGGTTAGGAAAAGAGAAGATACATGTACATAAATGCACTCGTTAGCACGGAAGCGAGGAGAAGTACGCATCAAAAACACCAGAATAACTCACAAGTGTTTTGAGAGTGAGCATTTACACTGCAAAAACTGGTGGAGTTTTGGCAGGCGTTTTAAAAAGCCATACTCCAGAGGTGGGTTTTGTCTTGTTTAGGAGTAGTTGCCTAGCAACTACTGACTTTCTAATCCAGAATGTGAGAAAAACCTACAATTTTAGCTTGCCGCGTAGAAACCCCTATCGACAACAACCTACAAACAACTTCAAGACAGAAGAATTACTAGCAAATGAACAGGTCAAGAATATATATCTCCCGAACATTAAAAAGGAACCACTAAACTTTAAATACCTCACAAAGGCTAATTCCAGCAAGACTTACTATTGAAATACCTCACAAAGACTGACCTGCTTTTCTATGCCCCCTCTCTGAAAACTGACCTTAGGTCCACCTCCAGCCATTGGGTCAAGCGTGAATAGACTTGACCTGAATAGACTTGACCCCTGATTGTGATGTCACAAACCTCAGGATGGCCAAGATTTTACAGAAAACCACAACTGAAGGTTAATCACACCACCCAGATTACAATGACCTACTTACTTGTTTTTCTGAGAAACTGACCAATCACAATGACAATAGTGTTGGGTCAGACATGAACTGAAGTCTGAATGCCCTTAGACAATAGAGCAAACAATATTGGAAGAGACTGGAAGAGAAGGAGATCTATTGTATTGGCATGAGAAGAGATCATTTAAGTGTTACTCAACAAAAGAACAAGCACCTTACAATTGATTTCCACAATAATCCAATTAATCCTCATCACATTTTCTAGGAGGCTGACACCTGTATATGGTGGAGTGAGTTTTGGCCCCTTGTCCTACAATGACCTACTTACTTGTTTTTCTGAGAAACTGACCAATCACATGACATAAACTGTGAATGCCTTTGGAGCAGACGATGTATACAAAGCACATTGGAAAAGACTGGAAGGGTAGGAGCCTAGGAGGTCCATCTTAAAAGCATGGGCATTAAGAGAAGATCATTTAAGTGTCACACGAACAAAAGGACAAGCACCTTATAATTGATTTTCACAAGAATCCAATTAATCCTCTTCACCCTTTTAAGGAGGCCTTTATGGTATACCTGGTAGTGAGTTTTGGCCACTCCTCCCAGAATAGGCCTATACACGAGTGGGGGGGGGGGGGGTGGGGGGGGTAGGGGGTAGGGCGTGACTACAAGGGGTCCAGTGCATATGGCACCTAAATTTTTACTCAGACTCATTACATTTAAAATTTGAAACAGGGGCATATGCATAACGACTCTGAAAATTTTAATCTAAATTTTGGAAAAATACAGACGCCCCCTCCCATACATTTATGTATGAAATTCAAAAAGGGGGCACATACATAAAGACACCGATTCTCAATCTGGACATTGCAAAGGTAGAGCCCTGTGAGAAAGTTCTTATAGCAGTCTGTAGACAATAACTACTCTTACTTCGAAGCCAAATTTAATATTTCACAGCACTTTAGAGAAGAGGATGTTAGTCATGGATTACAGTTTACTTATTAAATTAAACTAATCAAAAGAATGTAAACAATGTACAGAGCAGACAACATAGAAAGGGGGCGGGGGGGGGGGGGGAGGGTGCACTTGCACATCATTGTATGCAACAGTAGTAAAGCAGGCCTGGATTAAAAAAGCAATTTTCTCTCCTAAACAACGATAGCACGATATCCAACTGTGATTCTGAGAAAGGCATCAAAGCTTACTCGGTTCATTGGCTTTGTGCTAGGACTCGACCGAGACATGACCTCATATGGATCATCTCAAGCATTAAATGTATTCTACAGAACAAATTATACTCTACCTGAAGAACGTTTTAATACAGAATCCAGTTTCTCTCCATTTGTTATGTTCAACATCATGAACATGCACTTCTTTTTCTGATACAAAAGGACAGTGTACAGCTTTCAATTCAAGTAATTTTAAATTTATAATTCAAAGAAAAACTCAACGTCAGGTCGCTTCATTTCAAAACAATGATAACTTTATTTTCTTATTTAGCTCATTTCATGACCATTGGCCCAGTCAACAAAGATACTTTACAGTTTACTCGGTTTACCACAGTTTACTATAATTCTTCAAATAAATAGGTAGGTACGTGTACTTTATTGTCCAAAATTTACAATTGGCAAAATTTGTAAAATTGTACTTATTGTTTAGTAATGAAATGAAATTTTCTATACAATTTTCAGTCGACACTTAACAATCAACATCAAGTGTACACTGTAGGGACTAAACAAATAATTTATTTTATGTTCAAACTTGTTTCCACCAACATGACTGGAACAGATCAGTTCATTAACATATTCAATTATATGAATAGGCTTGTCTGACATAGCATCAAGTAATGCATGCAGACTGGATTCCACATATTTAGTTCATTCACTAATAAAAGGTTGATGGAATAACTCGTTACTAGGTCCCCAGGAAAGAAACATCCATAAATTTGATTATGTTAAAAAGCCGGTCTATCGACTGCAGACATGAGCAGTAATGGATGTTTGTATAAAACTTCCACGGATAAACAGCAAGTCCAGGTATTAAGCACCGGGAAAATAATATCCTGGGAAGCGAGTGATTTGGAACTGAAAAACAGGAAACTAGAAAAAGTGTTGAGAACTTGGCCAGGCCAGGCTTAAAGTCCAACTTCATGGGTGTACTTCAAAATATGTTCTCTACCTAGCATTTTCTAAGGTCGTATGAGGTACATTATACTGTCCATGGCCGCCTTTATGATTGAACAGAGAAGAAACGTGTATTTATGTACAAAATATTTTAAATTTCTGCTTTCTCCTAAATGCCTTGTCCCTTGAGCACTACCGTACTTAAAATGTATTATGGATAACTTAAAACTTTCTTATCACTTGATTTATTCCAGGGGGGGGGGGGGGAATTATGTGTAAATGTATTTGTATAGTCTACAGTATATTTTTGCCTATATAATCTTTCACACTTGCATACAAACTGCAATTAATCACTGATATGGTCAGCCATGACTCTGTACAAGGTCGTGACTAGGTCACAAGAGGACACAAACCCCCTCACAGTCACAGGTGACTAGTGTGTATCCTAGACCCTATAGTAAATGTTACATCTACATGTACGTGTAAGATGTTGTGATGATGTTTTTTTTTTATACAAGGAATTATTGTCAACCCTCTCCTTCCTGCCACACTCTTTCCTCCCTTCCCTACTTCCACTTTCCTAATTACTTAAAGTCATAGCACGCAATATTCATAAGCAGAACTCCTGTGTACAACTACAGTAGTTGGGACTTAGAGGGGGGGGGGGGGGGGGGAGTTGCAATATTGTTAACGTCTTTTACTCCTTCATCATGCTGTTTAATATGGTATACAGCTTTAAAGTTAGAATACACACTACATGTACAAGATTTTTAATTTAGTTACTTTCAATTATTTCTGTTTTGTTTTGCCAAGGCAAAATAGACAAAACAAAACTTTTCATAAATTCATTTTTGTATGAATCATCATCATCATCATACCTTTGTGCTGTATGGAATGGGAACTTTACCATGACATGGGCCATGTGTGCTAGCTCAACCTTGCATTACAATCAAGGACACAACTCAATATCTAATAACAGAAATGTGTAATTTAATGTACCATGTAGTTACAAGATATTAAAGAGACAATAAAATCCATGATTTAATGAAGTACATGAACCATGCAGCCACGTGGAGCCAGATGGCAAAGTCAATCATAAAGGATCATGAGATTCTAGAAAAGTATATACCCATGATTTCCAAGAAAGCAGTAGTATTGTACACGACCTTACCAAGTTACCTTACATACTTTTAGTCAGCATGCCTATTCTTTATAAGTTGACTAATGTACATAGTAGAAAAGAAATCAGACTTTAATTTCAAATTGAGATTTGCTTATTCATCATAATACAACAACAACAATAGTGATAACAATAACAATACCCTCTTTTTCTGATAAGTGTCTGATTGATAAATGAAGAAAAAAAAGTTTCATACAAAAATTGCTCTTGTGAGTATTGAAAAAGACAACCA